TGGCTAAATATCAGAGCATGGTTTGGACTCATGAGGTCTGCCTTCAGAGTCTGTAACTCTTATCCATATGGGCAAATCAAAATGACACCACAGAATTTTTAGAACGGAAGAGATAACAAAACACCTGAAAGAAACATTGTTATTGTTATTTAGTTGCTAAATCAGGTCAGACTCTTGCTGCACCACAGACTTGTCCTCCTGGTTCCTTCTGCCTGTGGGATTTTCCAGGCAACAATACGGGAATGGGTTGCCATATCCTTCTCCAGGGGATCTTCCTGATCCAGGGATCCAACCTGTGTCTCCTGAACTGGCAGGCAGATTCTTCACCACTGAGCCATGAGGGAAGTCCGAAATAAACATGACTGATAATAAAATCATAAAACACATCCCATCCGTGGCCTTTCTTTTCCCACTGACTGGTATTTAGTGACATCTCTTACCAATGCTAACTCTTCCCCCTTGGCCCCTTTCTCTTCCATAACACACATGTATGCATGCACACACACACACAGCTTCACTAATAGTATCCGTGGTGCTTAAAAATAGGGGAGGAAAAAGTAATATTCTAATTCAAAAAATGGACTAAATGCTAAATGTGGCCTCAGAGCCTTTGGGGTAGGGAGGAAAGAGAGATTCTTATTTGACAATCGATTAAATCTTCTCCCACTTGTTCATTCACTTCTAGGTAAACTCATGTACAGGTATATAGGAATACGAGAAAAAGTTTCCACAGAAGAGCTGGCTCATGGATTTCCCTCACATCTCTGCTCAAGCCAAAAGGCCTGCTGCTTACCCAACAGAAATAAATGTAGTGGGTTTTCCAGAACAGAATTAAAAATGAATTCTCTCAAGTAAACGTAGCTCTTAGTGAAGCAGACCCTGTAGGCTATCATCTTCCCTCTAAGGGACTTTCAGGGATGAAGGGCAGGACATTAAACATCCTAGTCTGATACAGCAACCACTAGCCACAGGTGTCTGCTGAGCACTTGAAAGGTGGCTAGTGCGACTTGGGAACAAACTTTTTAACTTTCTCATTTTAAACCATCACATACAGCTAATGACTATCATTTGGACAGAATAGCTCTAGACTCATCTCAGTAACTACTATTCACCGAGTATCTACTATGTGCTACAAAACTACATTGAGGGAGGTCCAATTTTGTCCCCATTTTTCAGAAAGGAAATTGAAGCTAAGAGAGAAAAAAATGACTTGCTCATGGCTTTACAACTAGTAAGTGGTAAATTCTGGATTTTATACCCATGTCTGTCCCTCTCAATGCCTGATGCTTTCACTACCAATGGTTCCCAACACTGGCTATCTATCAGCTGGTGTGCTTTTCAGAAATACTGACCCCCAAGTTCCATGACAGCACCCTTATGGCAGAAAGCGAAGAGGAACTGAGGAGCCTCTTGATGAAGGTGAAAGAGGACGGTGAAAAACCTGAGATCAACATTCAAAGAACATGGCATCTGGTCCCATCACTTCATGTCAAATAGATGGGGAAACAATGGAAACAATGAGAGAATTTCTTTTCTTGGGTTCCAAAATCACAGCAGATGGTGATTGCAGCCATGAAATTAAGACACTTGCTCCTTGAAAGAAAAGCTATGACCAACCTAGACAGCACATTAAAAAGCAGAGACATTACTTTGTCAACAAAGGTCCATCTAGTCAAAGCTATGGTTTTTCCAGTGGTCACATATGGATGTGAGAGTTGGACCATAAAGAAAGCTGAGCACTAAAGAATTGATACTTCTGAATTGTGGTGTTGGAGGAGACTCTTGAGAGTCCCTTGGACTGCAAGGAGATCAAACCAGTCAATCCTAAAGGAAATCAGACCTGAATATTCATTGAAAGGACTGATGCTGAAGCTGAAGCTCCAATACTTTGGCTACCTGATGTGAAGAGCTGACTTATTGAAAAAGACCCTGATGCTGGTAAAGATTGAAGGTGGGAGGAGAAGGGGACGACAGAGGATGAGATGGTTGGATGGTATCACTGACTTGATGGACATGAGTTTGAACAGGCTCCAGGAGTTGGCAATGGACAGGGAAGCCTGGCATGCTGCAGTCCACAGGGTTGCAAAGAGTTGGACAGGACTGAGCGACTGAACTGACTGAACTTAAGTTCCATAATGCAGTAATTGTTATTTAATTAGAGGCAGGGTTCAGGCACATGCATACCTCTGAAATTTCCACTATGCAACACCACCAGTGTGACCAAGGCCTCCTAGTAGGAGACAACCATTTCCAAAAGGAAGCTGTGATGAAATTCTACCTCTATCTCTTCTCTTAAACATGGTTTAAGAGTTTAAACAGTTTAATTAATTAAACGGTTTAATGCTAAAAAGAGTCCCACTCCTTCCTTTTGCAGGTCAAAGTAAATGACTAAGAGCAGTTGCTCTGAGCTAGGGTGAGGTCACATAGCTGGTTTTGATGGAGCTAAGACAAGGACCCAAGTATGAGTTTATATGTAAATGCTGCTGCTTTTGGTTCTCTGGGGACAGCAAATAAGCAAAGGACAGGAAGGCTCAACTAAGGGATTTAAAATCCTAAGCAGCAACTGAGAAGCCCAAGGCAGCAAAGGCTAGGAGTGTGTGACATTTGACTATTTCTAGTGGTGGGAATGTCTGGTTCTTCCAGATTCATCAGCATTACCTTCTCTTGTCCCCTCTTTCCACTGATCGAAAGTCCTCAGGAGTGATCCAAGGGCTTCTATGCAGTATTTTTCACTCTCTCAGATACTTTCTGTGTTGTTGTATTGAGGTAAAGTTGACAAAGAACATTATAACGTGATTCACTATTTGCATATATTACAAAATGACCACCAAACATATTAATAGCTACAAAAATTTTTTCCTCGCCATGTGATGAACTGTCAACGTTATATTTAACAGACACAATTTTACCTTTGACCCATAGTATGTGCTTAAAATTACCACTATGAAATGAATGAAGCAGGCTTTGCAATTCAAGAGACAGATTACTCCGCTTCTGGATGGGTTCAGATATCCGAATATGTGTTTGGTAAATAACTTTTTTAAAAAGGAAATTAAAAAGTCCCTTCAGAACCTTTACATGTGACTCACAAAAGTAGGTGGAGAAGATGACCTCAGTCTCCAGGGCAGGGTTACAGGCATATCTCCTCTTACAGTAGTATGCAGGAGTAGTATTTTATAGAAATCGGAGGTTTGTGGTAACTGTGTCACACAAGTCTATTGGCAAACATTTTCCCAACATCATGTACTCACTCTACGTCTCTGTCACATTTTGGTAATTCTCACAATATTTCAAACCTTTTCACTACTATTGCAATTGTTTTGGTAACCTATGATCAGTGCTCTTTGATGTTACTACTGTAATTGTTTGGGGGCATCATAAACCATGCCTATTCAAAAAGGCAAACCTAACTGATAATGCTGTGTGTGTTCTGACTTCTGCACTGACCCAAAGTTCCCCAACCTCTCTCCCTGTCCTCAAGCCTCTCAACTTCCTGAGACACAACAATATTGAAATGAGGCCGATTAATAACCATACAATGGCCTCTAAGTGTTCAAAGGAAAGGAAGAGATGAATATTTCTCACTTTAAATTAAAAGCTAGAAATGATTAAGCTCAGGGAGGAAGGCATGTTGAAAGCTGTGATAGGCTGAAAGTTAGGCCTCTTGCATAAAACAGTCAGCCAAGTTGTAAATGAAAAAGGAAAAGTTCTGCCAAGTTGTAAATGAAAAGGAAAAGTTCTTGAAGGAAATTAAAAATGTTACTCCAATGAACACACAAGTGATAAGAGAACAAAACACACTTATTGCTGATATGGAGACAGCTTTAGTGGTCTGGATAGAAGATCAAACCAGACACAACATTCCCTTAAGTCAAACTCTAATCCACAGCAAAGCCCCAACACTCTTCAATTCTGTGAAGTTTGTGAGAGGTGAGGAAGCTGTTGGAGAAAATTTTCAGGCTAGAGAGGTTGGTTCATGAGGTTTAAAAGAAGAGAAGCCATCTCCATGACATCAAAGTGCAAGGTGAAACAGCAAGTGCTAATGCAGATGCTCTAGCAAATTATCCAGAAAAACTAGCTAAAAACATTAATGGATTCACATTCAGATGCCATTAAGAACATTTGCAACTCATAGGTAAAGTCAAAATATCAACTTAACAGGAGTTTGGAAGAAGTTGACTCCAACCTCCACAAATGATTTTGAGGGGTTCAAGACTTCAGTGTAGGAAGTAACTGTATGCTATGCTAAGTCACTTCAGTCGTGTCCGACTCTGTGCAACCCCATAGATGGCAGCCCACCAAGCTCCCCCGTCCCTGGGATTCTCTAGGCAAGAACACTGGAGTGGATTGCCATTTCCTTCTCCAATACATGAAAGTGAAAAGTGAAAGTGAAGTCGCTCAGTCGGTCCGACTCTTTGCTACCCCATGGACCGCAGCCTAGCAGGCTCCTCTGTCCATGGGATTTTCCAGGCAAGAGTACTGGAGTGGGGTGCCATTGCCTTCTCCAGAAGAAAGTAACTGTAGAGGTGGTGAAAACAGTAAGAAATTAAGATTACAATTGGAGACTGAATATATGACTGAACTGTTGCAATCTCACGAAAAAAAACTTGAACAAATGAGGAGTTGGTTTTTCTGGATGAGCAAGGAAAGTGCTTACTTTCTCTCTCTCTTCTTTTTCTACTTTGGCCACACTGTGCAGCACATGGGATGGTTCCCCCACCAGGGACAGAATGAGGCTTCTCTAGTTAAAGCACTGAATCCTAACCACTAGGCCACCAGGGAACTTCCCCAAGAAAGTGGCTTCTTGAGATGTATTCTACTCTGATAGAGGTAGATTCTGTGGTAGAAGTAAGTCCTGGTAGAAGAAGTTGTCAAGAAAACTGTTGAAAGGACAGCAAAGAATTTAGAATATTACCTAAACTTAGTTCATAAAAAAACAGGCATGGTTTAAGAGGATTAACTCCAGGAGCGCACGCGGGCCGGGCCGGGCGGAATGAGCGATGGCCTCGGTCAAGGTGATAGTGAGGGTCCGGCCCATGAATCGCAGGGAAAAGGACTTGGAAGCCAGATTCATTATTCAAATGGAGAAAAGCAAAATGACCATCACAAACCTAAAGATACCAGGAGGGACTGGGGACTCAGGAAGAGAACGGACTAAGACCTTCACCTACGACTTTTCTTTTTATTCTGCTGATACAGAAAGTCCAGATTATGTTTCTCAAGAAATGGTTTTCAAAACCCTTGGCACAGATATCGTGAAGTCTGCATTCGAAGGTTATAATGCTTGTGTTTTTGCATACGGGCAGACAGGATCAGGAAAGTCATACACTATGATGGGAGACTCTGGCGATTCTGGCTTAATACCCCGGATCTGCGAAGGGCTCTTCAGTCAGATAAACGAAACCACCAGATGGGATGAGGCATCTTTTCGAACTGAACTCAGCTACTTAGAAATTTATAATGAACATGTGAGAGATCTACTTAGATGGAAGTCAATCAAAACCTTCAATCTAAGAGTCTGTGAGCATCCAAAAGAGGGGCCTTATGTGGAAGGCATCTCCCTTTTGTATTTAATCTAAAGAAGAAGGATCTCAGGCAGTTTGCAGTTTGGTTTTGGCTTCGTTTCTAAATTTTTTTCCTCTTCGTTGACTTTGGGGTTCGGATAGTCCTACCGCTTCGGACTCCCGAGGACCTTTTGGGCCCCCACGTTAATGAGCCACCTGGCGAGTCTGATGTGGCCGCCAGCGAGGCGCCGCTCGCGTCCCTCCCCACGTTTGCGTCCGGCCCGGTGGGAAGGACGAGGTGCTCCGAATGACAGCTGGCAGAAGGAGCTCCCCTACATGAAGCGGCTTCCCCGATGCTTCCCGGACACCCCTACCTGGGTGGCGGCGGCGGCCGCAGCCACCAACCTGGAGAGTGGTGGAGTTTGCAGCCCGGCCCTCCTGCCCCGAGGGAGGCGGAGGAGTTCCGTGATCTCCTGGACCTGGACCTCATCCTCTCCAGCTCGCTGTCCCATCAGGAGCCCGTGACCGCCACGGCGTCCTTGTAGGCATCAGCCTCATCCTCGCTCTCCCCGTGGAGTAGCGGCCAGATCAGCGCACCCTACACCTGCAGCCTCAGCGATCCATCCGGGCCGGGGGCGACCTGGGCGCAGCCGCGCCGGGCAGCGTGGGAGGCGGCTTCCTCAGCAGCCGGGAGTTTGCACCCCCTCCGACGGCTCCCGTCAACCTGGCGGACATCAGTGACGTGAGCCTCTCCAGCGGCTTCCTGGCCGAGCTTCTGTGGCCCGAATTGGACCCAGTGTGCATTCCGCCGCCGCCAGGTGGTGGACTGGTGGGCACGTTCGTGTTGAAGGCGCCTGAGTGCCCCTGGCAGCCAGTACGGCCGCCCGTCGGTCATCGGTGTTCGCACAGGCGGCCCGGACGGCAGCCACTCGGTGGTGGTGGGTTCTACAGCGGCGGGCCGCCGCGCGTGTGCCCTAAGATCAAGCAGGAGGCTGTCTCCTAGTGCACCGTCGGTCGGCCCCTGGAGGCCCGCTTGGGCACTGAACCTCCATTCAGCAGTGACCACCGGCTGCCTGCGCACGACTTTCCCCTGGGGTGGCAGCTCCCCAGCGCGGCTACCCTGACCCTGGTCCCGAGGAACTGCTGAGCAGCCCAGACTGTCATCCTGCCCTGCGGCTCCCCCGGGGCTTCCATCCCCACCCTGGGCCCAACGACCCTCCCTGCCTGCCCAACCAGATGCAGACGCACGTCCCACCGCACCATGACCAAGCGCTAATGCCAGCCAGTTCCTGCAGGCCAGAGGAGCCCAGGCCAAAGAGGAGGAGGAGGTCGTGGCCCCGGGAAAGGACGGCCTCTCACATTTGTGATTACGCAGGCTGCGGCTAAACCTGCAGGGAGATTTCTCATCTCAAGGCACACCTGGGCACCACACACAGGTGCACACAGGTGCAAAACCTTCCCACTGTGACTGGGATGGCCGAGGGTGGAAGTTTGCCCGCTCAGATGAACTGACCAGGCACTATGGCAGACACCCCGGGCAGTGCCGGAAGCGCGACCGGGCATTCTCCAGGTTGGACCACCTCCCTTAAACGGCATTCTCCAGGTTGGACCACCTCCCTTAAACACGAAGAGGCACTTCTAAATCCCCAAACAGTGGATGTGACCCGCACTGCCAGAAGATAATTCAGTCTTTTTTACCTTTCACACTGTCTTCCTGGTGGGGGGAGGAACCCAGCTAGAAAGCACTACAGTCATGGTGAAGTTCCCAAGGAGTAAACTTGTGAATGGATAATCAGGAGACACAGGAAACCAAAAGACAAACTCAAAAACACAAAACAAAAAAACAGATGGGGTCTGTGACTGGATCTTCTAGCATTCCAATTCTAAATCCAACTTGAATATATATATTTCTGGGCTTACAAAACGTCAAGGGGGTGACTGGAAGTTGTGGATATCAGGGTATAAATTAGATCTGAAAGTTGGGGGGAGGGAAGACCAGAACCCCTTGAATTGTTCTGATGCAATATAAGCATAAAGATCACATTGTATTCTGTTTGCCTTCTAAAAGTCATTATGACGATCTTAGAAGAAGAAGAAGAAATTCAGGTACAGAAAATGGTGTTTAATGGCCTAAACAATGGTTCTTAGTAAGTCTTGGTTCTAAAGGTACCAAATGAGGCCCCAAGTTCTCAAACTGCTGCTTACTTTAACAAAGAAAATCTGTTTTTGTCTTCTGATCTACATTTATGACCTAAGTCAGGTAAATACACCTGGTTTACTTTAATCTTTTATATAGTCTGTTATGTATTGTGGTTTCAGATGTGCAATAATTTGTACAATGGTTTATTCCCAAGTATGCCTTAAGCAGAACAAATGTTTTTTTTCTATATAGCTCCTTGCCTTAATAAATATGTAATATAAATTTAAGCAAACTTCTATTTTGTATATTTGTAAACTACAAAGTAAAAAAATGAACATTTTGTGGAGTTTGTATTTTGCATACTCAAGATGAGAATTAAGTTTTAAATAAACCTATAATATTTTATCTGGTCTTACATTTAGATCTTTAATCCATTTTGAGTTTATTTTTGTGTATGGTGTTAGAAAGTGTTCTAGTTTCATTCTTTTACAGGTGGTTGACCAGTTTTCCCAGCACCACTTGTTAAAGAGGTTGTCTTTTTTCCATTGTATATCCTTGCCTCCTTTGTCAAAGATAAGGTGACCATAGGTTCATGGATTTATCTCTGGGCTTTCTATTCTGTTCCATTGATCTATATTTCTGTCTTTGTGCCAGTACCATACTGTCTTGATGACTGTGGCATTGTAGTATAGTCTGAAGTCAGGCAGGTTGATTCCTCCAGTTCCATTCTTCTTTCTCAAGGTTACTTTGGCTATTCAAGGTTTTTTGTATTTCCATACAAATTGTGAAATTATTTGTTCTAGTTCTGTGAAAAATACCGTTGGTAGTTTGATAGGGATTGCATTGAATCTGTAGATTGCTTTGGGTAGTATAGCCATTTTGACAATATTGATTCTTCCAATCCATGAACACAGTATATTTCTCCATCTGTTTGTGTCCTCTTTGATTTCTTTCATCAGTGTTTTATAGTTTTCTATGTATAGGTCTTTTGTTTCTTTAGGTAGATATACTCCTAAGTATTTTATTCTTTTTGTTGCAATGGTGAATGGTATTGTTTCCTTAATTTCTCTTTCTGTTTTCTCATTGTTAGTGTATAGGAATGCAAGAGATTTCTGTGTGTTAATTTTATATCCTGCAACTTTACTGTATTCATTGATTAGCTCTAGTAATTTTCTGGTAGAACATAGGCAAAACAGTCTCCGACATAAATCACAGCAGGATCCTCTATGACCCACATCCCAGAATTTTAGAAACAAAAGCCAAAATAAACAAATGGGACCTAATGAAACTTAAAAGCTTTTGCACAACAAAGGAAACTATAAGCAAGGTGAAAAGACAGCCCTCAGATTGGGAGAAAATAATAGCAAACGAAGCAACAGACAAAGGATTAATCTCAAAAATATACAAGCAACTCCTCCAGCTCAACTCCAGAAAAATAAATGACCCAATCAAAAAATGGGCCAAAGAACTAAACAGACATTTCTCCAAGGAAGACATACAGATGGCAAAAAAACACATGAAAAGATGCTCAACATCACTCATTATCAGAGAAATGCAAATCAAAACCACAATGAGGTACCATTACATGCCAGTCAGGATGGCTGCTAGCCAAAAGTCTACAAGCAATAAATGCTGGAGAGGGTGTGGAGAAAAGGGAACCTTCTTACACTGTTGGTGGGAATGCAAATTAGTACAGCCACTATGGAAAACAGTGTGGAGATTTCTTAAAAAGCTGGAAATAGAACTGCCATATGACCCAGCAATCCCACTGCTGGGCATACACACTGAGAAAACCAGATCTGAAAGAGACACGTGCACCCCAATGTTCATCGCAGCACTGTTTATAATAGCCAGGACATGGAAGCAACCTAGATGCCCATCAGCAGACGAATGGATGAGGAAGCTGTGGTACATATACACCATGGAATATTACTCAGCCATTAAAAAGAATTCATTTGAATCAGTTCTAATGAGATGGATGAAACTGGAGCCCATTATACAGAGTGAAGTAAGCCAGAAAGATAAAGACCATTACAGTATACTAACACATATATATGGAATTTAGAAAGATGGTAACAATAACCCTATATGCAAAACAGAAAAAGAGACTCAGATGTATAGAACAGACTTGTGGACTCTGTGGGAGAAGGCGAGGGTGGGATGTTTCAAGAGAACAGCATCGAAACATGTATATTATCTAGGATGAAACAGATCACCAGCCCAGGATGGATGCATGAGACAAGTGCTCGGGCCTGGTGCACTGGGAAGACCCAGAGGGATCGGGTGGAGAGGGAGGTGGGAGGGGGGACCGGGATGGGGAATACATGTAAATCCATGGCTAATTCATTTCAATGTATGACAAAAACCACTGCAATGTTGTAAAGTAATTAGCCTCCAACTAATAAAAATAAATGGAAAAAAAAATTTTATCTGAAAAAAAAAAAAGACGATTAACTCCAATTTTGAAAAAGTTCTACTTTTTCAAAGGTAAAGTGGTGGGTAAAAAGCTATCAAACAGCATTACATGCTATCGAGAACTCATTCGTGAAAGGAAGTCAGTCAATGTGGCAAAATTCAGCACTGTCTTATTTTAAGACTGACATCATCTTCCCAGGTGGCTCAGTGGTAAAGAATCTGCCTGCCAATGAAGGAGACGCAGGAGACCTGTTTGTTTGATCCCTGGGTTGGGAAGATCCCCTGGAGAAGGAAATGGCAACCTACTCCAGTATTCTTGCCTGGAGAATCCCATGGACAGAGGACCCTGGCGGGCAACAGTCCATAGGGTCGCAAAGAGTCGGGACATGATTAAGCGAGTGAACATCAATCAACCTCAAGGCAAGACCCTACACCAGAAAAAAGATTACAACTTGCTGAAGGCTCAGATGATAGCTAGTATTTTTTTTTTTTTTTAGTGATACAGAATTTTAAAATTAAAGTATCTACCTTGTTTTTTTTTAGATATAATGCTACTGTATACTTAACCTACAATATAGTGTAAACATAGTGTTTATATGCTCTGGGAAACCAAAAAATTCACGTGACTCCCTCTGTTGCATTGTGGTCATGCATGCATGCTAAGTCACTTCAGTCATGTCCAACTCTTTGCAGCTCTATGGACTGCAGCCGCCAGGCTCCTCTGTCTGTGGGATTCTCCAGGCAAGAATACTGGAGTGGGTAGCCATGCCCTCCCCCAGGGGATCTTCCCCACCCAGGGATCAAACTCATGACTGTTGTATCTCCTGCATTGGCAGGCCAGTTCCTCACCACTAGAGCTACTGGGAAGCCTCTCATTGCGGTCATCTGGAAACAAACCTGTGCTATCTCTTAGTTATGCCTGTACTTTTTGTTTCAGGAGTTGTAAAGGCTTGAATATGATAAAATAAGAAGAAAAAATGAGAATACTGACCAAAAGTTAAGCAGAGGAATTTATACCATACTCATGTATTCCAAGAGTCCAGATAAGCACTGGAAACCTGTATTTATCCTTATCCTAGGTTAGGAGACCACTAACTAAATCAAGCTCTGGGGGTTGAAAAGAAAGTCAACAATGAGAAGGAAATTGCCACAAAATTAGAAAATGCTGCTGTCAACATTACCTTTCAGACTAGCCAAGTATGCCTCTCTCTCTTACAATAAATAAATACCAATAAAAATAATTTGTGATTTAGATTATCCTCAGCAATGGTATGTGCTATAAAATGCACTATGGAAATCATCTCTCTATTTAGGAACTCAGCACAGCTGCACCAATAAGGAGGCTGGGTATATTCTGCAGCTAGATGAACTTGTGTTCTAAGAATCTGCCTTTAGAAGTAACAGCCCTGAAAGCCAGAAGCAAAAAAATCTCAAGGATTATTGTAGCAAATGGCTTCAAATAGAAACATCTAGACTGTTGGCAAGTGCCTTTTAAAAAGCAGGACTTGAATTCTCTTGAAGCAAAATTACCAACCATTCTTGTGGCCTGCTGTTTACAAAAATAAAGAAAACAGGGTTTTTTGAGCTACAGCTGCAGATTCAAAAATTAGGACCAGTAGATTTTGCTTTAGTAATGTAAAAAGCAAAACACCCCAAAGAGAGCAGAAAGAATTAGCTAAGGATGTTAGAGATGTGAAAGAAGATAATGATAGGAAAAGTCATTTCAAACATCTCCAGACTGTAATTACAAGCCAAGGTTTTTTTTTTAATCTTATCTGTCTACTTCACTCCCTGTCCTCACCCCAGGCCTTCCCCCCCAACCCCTGCTATTTCTTATAATAGTAATATATGCCCAAGGCTTAAAAAGAACACAGAGGTATATAAAATAAAATGTTAAAGTCTTCTAACCTTTTTCTGTTCTTAATCCTATTAAAAATCCCTGAAAGTGAAAGTCGCTCAGTTGTGACTCTTTGCAACCCCACGGATATACAGTCCATGGAATTCTCCAGGCCAGAATACTGGAATGGGTAGCCTTTCCCTTCTCCAGTGAATCTTCCTAACTCAGAGACTGATGAACCCAGGTCTTCCACAATGCAGGCAGATTCTTTACCAGCTGAGCCACAAGAGAAACATTAAAAATTCCTAAAATTTTTTTTAAAAATCATTGTCTAGCTCTTAAAATGTTAAAGAAACACGGTGTCCAGTGTGCATAACTTTGCTTCCCTGGCCTCATATTTTCTATTAGGGGCTGGCTTTGTAAGCTAGAAAACAGGAGACAGAGAATCAAAAGATGGAAGCTCTGCTGCTCACTTCTTCCAACCATTTTTGTGCCTTTCAGCAAAGTTTTTCCTTGTCTGAAAAGTAAGGAAGATGAGAATGCTGGTTCTTGGTTCACTCTGAATTCAAATCTTCCTGTACTAGTGCTGTCTAATAAAAAAACACAACTGAGAGTCAGACGGGTGCAGAGACGCTTCTGGAAGTAACATCGCGATGGCTGCCCAAGGAGAACCCCAAGTTCAGTTCAAACTTGTTTTGGTTGGTGATGGTGGTACTGGAAAAACTACATTTGTGAAGCGTCATCTGACTGGTGAATTTGAGAAGTGTGTAGCTCCCTTGGGTGTTGAGGTCCATCCTCTTGTGTTCCATACCAACAGAGGACCTATTAAGTTCAGTGTATGGGATCCAGCCGGTCAGGAGAAGTTTGGTGGACTGAGAAATGGCTATTATACACAAGCTCAGCGTGCCATTATAATGTTTGATGGAACATCAGGAGTTACTTACAAGAATGTGCCTAACTGGCGTAGAGATCTGGTATGAGTATGTGAGAACATCCCAATTGTGTTGTGTGGCAACAAAGTGGATATTAAGGACAGAAAGGTTAAGGCAAAGTCAATTGTCTTCCACCGAAAAAAGAATCTTCAATACTATGGCATTTCTGCCAAAAGTAACTACAACTTTGAAAAGCCCATCCTCTGGCTTGCTAGAAAATTGATTGGAGACCCTAACTTGGAGTTTGTCGCCATGCCTGCTCTTGCCCCACCAGAGGTGGTCATGGACCCAGCCTTGGCAGCACAGTACGAGCACGATTTAGAGGTTGCTCAGACAACTGCTCTCCCGGATGAAGATGTGAGAAAGTAAAGCTGGGGCCCAGCGTCAGAAGTCTAGTTTTATAGGGAATTGTCCTGTGATGTCAGTGGTGCAGTGTGTTTGCCACTTTATTATATAGCTAAGCAGAACATGTGCTTAATCTTTGGATGCTAAAGGAGATGGATGGGCTTTGGAGTTAATGTGGCAGTTTAAAAAAAAAATACCTTCATTTTTTGGACCTGCATATTTAGGTGTTTTGGAACACAGTTGTTTCCTCCTTGAGTTTCAAATATAAGACTGCTATAGTCACATGACAATATTGAGGTGGAATCTTGTTTGTTACTGTCATTCCCATTCCTTTTTGTTTAGAATCAGAATAAAGTTGTATTTCAAATATCTAAAAAAAAAAAAAGCTGAGCTACAAATGTGAGCCACATTCATAATTTTAAACTTTTTAATAACCATATTTAAAAAATAAAAATAGGTGAAGGCAATTATAATATTTTCACCCCAACATAGTCAAAATATTATCATCTCAACATGCAATCAACATTTGTTTTGTTGTTCTTTGTTGTTTAGTCACTAAGTCATGCCCCACTCTTTTGCAACCCCATAGACTTTAGCTCGCCAGGCACCTATGTGTGTGGGATTTTCCAGGCAAGAAAACTGGAGTGTGTTGCCATTTCCTTCTCCAGGTGATCTTCCAGACCCAGGGACTAAACCCAGGTGTCTTGCACTGGCAGGAGGATTCTTTACCACTGAGCCACCAGGCTTCCTGTAATCAACCTTAAAACATTAAAATTTAACATTAATAGTTTATATTCTATTTTTCAAACTAAGTCTTCAAAATCTAGTGTGTATTTGATAAAAAAAAAAATCTTCATTCAGATTAGCGACATTGCAAGTGTTCAGGAGCCACATGTGAATAATTGCTAGTATTTTAAGCAGCAAAGTTTTATATCAGTGCCAGATAGTATCTGAAGAAAAGCTCTACTTCAGCGTGTAGCTCACTTCTGCATCTCTACACTTGATTGACTCTGTTGTCAGCAAAACATTATTGTAGATTATCATTTGTTAGCAATATCTAAGTATCAACAACTAAGTGCTGAATCTATTTAGACTACTCATAGAGTTTCAGTATCAGAGTTTTGATTAATATCCGTGCTGTTTTCCTATAACACATTTAGTATTCAAGTGAATTTTTCTTGTCTGGCTGAGTCATTCCTATTGAATTTTAGATCATTTATCCCGAGCTACACAGAATGATTAGGATATAGTATCATTGTTAATTAACCATTTGAAAAGTATCCCAAGCTTTTAAAAGCAGATTAAATCACTCACTTGTATCCTATCAATAATGTTCTCCACCTCTCAATCCGCTCACACACACACACACCAAAGTCTAACATATTACAAAGCATACAGCATTACTAAGCAATGAAAGTTGAGTAAGTGAAATATCACTTAATCATTGTACTGTTTTTTAATAAACTCAACAAATAACTCTTGATTACCTTTCATAGGCCAGGACCTGTGCTTGGTTTTGAGGGTTCCTATCTTGGTGGTTTAATTTCAAAGATTCCATCAGAGTAACCCATTATTAGAGGCTCTGGAATTTATGTATTGGGGTAACGGTATAATTTTGTATCCCTGGGTATCTTTTGCTACTGACAAGCCTTTCCCCACTCCCACCCCACCCCCAAATCAGACACATTTTTAAAGAGAATCCTTCTTATCTCTCCAAGTCTATTCTGCCTATAAAACAAAATATGCTGAAATACACCATATTAACAACTTTGAGTGTGTGCTATAAATTTAGAAACAGTACATATCCATTGTAAAAGAAGATATTCGAACAAGTCAGAAGTATAGAAAGTAAAAGATGAAAGTTCTACCCTCTCTTGATGCATTATTCCTAGGAGGACCACTCACAGGTAACCACTTACAGAATTTTATGCCAGAATTCTCCAAGCATATATAAATACGTATACAGAGATGTATACACATTTGCAAATTTTGAGAAAGTATTTTAAATTAACACATGATTATGAGGAAAATTCAAATAACACAGAAGCATATAAAAATGGAATAATCATATTCACATAGAATATTTGAGGAAGGATCTTAAAACAAAGTAACACATGATTCTGGAGAAAATGAAAATTATGGTAAAAAGCAAACAGTAAAATGCAAAGTGAAATTTTCCCTATTCCACATTCCCTCTACCCAAAGGTAATAAAACGTGCCCTCAGTACTTTTTGTGTGTGTGCTCTCTTTGTGAAATTTTCTATGACTACACAAGAATACAGATACATATACACACACACACACACATACATATGCCCAACACTCATATGAATATATATAGAACATATATATGTTTAATGTGTATATATATATATATATATATATAAAGTAAGGTACTTATTTGTGAAATCAATATATATATAGATAAGTATCCAAAATGACAGAGGGAATCCCCTTGATTACCACCCAGACTGAAAAGTAAAACATTGCCAGCCTCTTAGAAGCCCTCTTTACCAACTCCTAATCACTACCCTCTCCCACCATCCATTTCAAAGCCTTCCACTATCCAGACTTGTAGAGTAATCAATTCCTTGCTTTTCTTTTTCATTTTACCACCCAAGCACACATCATTAAGGAACTGTAACTTTTATTTTTCAATTTTTAAGCAAATGAAGTCATACCATATGTATTCTTTTCTGTCTTGCTTCTTTCATATGCAATATTTATTTATTTTTAGCTTAATATATTTTGGGAATCTTAGTCAATATATAGAGAATTACTTCATCCTTTTAATTCCATGATATAGAATTGAACAAATGGCCTAATATCAAATTATTTTCATTCTTTTTGGCCATTATGAATAACATTATAAAGAACATCTTGGGCATTCATTTTCATAAATCAATTACTTTTACTCAAAAAGTAATCATACTATTAATGTAAAATGAAATGAAGTGCCATGTTAATTATTTCAGAATTCTTGAACAAATTCAGTTGCAATACAATAAACTTTTAACAAGGAGTGATCTTATCTTCTCAATCCTAGATTGCCTCTCAAAACTTAGATTTTGCTTAGAAGCAAAGAGACATTTTTGAGCACACTGGCATAGAGTTTTTCAAAGTATAGTCCTAAATTGCTAGTATCACAGTTACTGGAGGATCTTATTAAAATGCACATTTCCTAGCATTCAGCATCTTTGGAGATGGTCTTGATAAATTAATTAGGATACAGTCTAAACTACTGTAACCAAGACTACAAAACATAGTGGCACCAACAAGATAGGCATTTACTTCCTTCTCATTTAACAGTTCAGAACAGCACAGGCTGGCCAACGTAGAGAAGGCAGCTCTACTCCAAAACATATCAATGCTGTCTTGTTGCTCTGCTAGTCTATGAGGCATGGCAGAAGCTGGTCCCTGACCATGTCCATGGGCTATCACATCTTCAGCAAAGGGAAGGGAAAAACAAGTAGAGGGAAAGCCATTTGTCAGGAAGTGCACAAGTGGTGCACATTCCATTGCCAGAAGAAATATGGCCGCAGCTAGTTACAAAGCATGCTGGGAATACGTGGCTTTGGTTCTACTGGCCATGTGTCCTCTTCACTGGCAAGTGGCAGGGTTCAATTACTAACAGGAAGAAGAGGATGGAGATGCTGGGGGTGGCAATTCGTAGTTTCTGCAGCACCCGGGAATCTACACCGTTAGGTGCTTGCTCCAAATCCTCTGTCCTCAGATGTGACTGGTCACTGGGCTGGAGAAGTACTCTTTTATACTTGGTTCAATGTCCCTTCTCCCAAGTACCCCTGGAACTTCGTGAGCTATTACTGACTGATGCTGAAGCTGAAGTTCCAATCCTTTGGCCACCCGATTCAAACAACCAACTCACTGGAAAAGACCCTGATGCTGGGAAAAATTGAAGGCAGGAGGAGAAGGGGACAACAGAGGAGAAGATGGTTGGATAGCATCACCGACTCAATGGACATGAGTTCAAGCAAGCTCTGGGAGATGGTGAAGGACACGGAAGCCTGGCATGCTGCAGTCCAAGGGGTCACAAAGAGTCAGACATGACTGAGTGCCTGAACAATGACAAAATCAGCTAATAGCAATAAAGTGCTAATTATGTGCCAAGAACCTCACATGAATTATTTCATTTAACCACTACAACAAGTTTAAGGTACTATTTACTAACCCCCTGACTATAGATAAGGAAACTATGACTTAGGGAATTTCCTTGCCCAAGCTGTACAATTAGTCTGTAATTAATAAGGGTTGGGTCTTGAACCCAGAGCTTATGTGCTTAACATTAGTCTGCACAGTGAATGGTTATATTTAAAAGAACATCTGTCCTTAAAATCTATGTATGTTCAATATAAAAGTTACTGATATTAAGAGTTTTGATATAAAGAAGCAAAATTTAGGGGCAATTACTGGGAGATGGCATTCAAGGTTAGCCCAGTCCTAATAATGATAAAATATTAATTGAAACTGAGCATTTACACTCTATAAGGCACTGTTCTAAGGGCTTTACCCTTGTAACAACCCTGAGTTAGGCCCTCTAATCAATCATCTTCAGTTTACAGATAAGGAAACTGGGGCACAGAAATGTTAAGTCAATTAGCCAAGATCACACAGCAGGTAAGAGTAATATGCTTAGCCACTAGCCTATACCACCAACATACAAAGAGAAGCAGGCATAGTCTCTT